TATTTCTTGGAAATTTGAATCGTAAAGACAACAGATTAATAAATACCAGCAGGAAATCGCGAATTCAGAGCGGGGCAAATTAAAATTCAGTCAACAAATCGCAAATTAGAGACGGTGCGAAAATTTCCGGTTTTAAAATATAATTGATCCATTATTATTCAAATATCTTTCATCTGTTTTCAATATACAAATTAAATAAAGAAATATATAACCCTCGTTGAATTTTATACGGGTAACGTATTGCTGCGTATCCTATGAACATTTGCAAATCCGTTTAATCTATTATTTCTAATCCAATGTTTTGGGAAAAAATAATCATTTGTGACTTCGTGAACTCATTTTGTAACACTAATGATACAATTTAGCACATGAATCGTTTGTTTAAAGGATATTCAAGTGAACTTGCTGTCTTATTGTCGTAGTCTCCTCAATTTTCAAATAAATGTTCACTATAACGAATGACTATGTACATATAAATATGAGGAGATATAGTATAACTGCCGTTGAGAAAACTATCCACTAGAGACTTAATGACGTCGATATAAACTATGGCCTTCGACACTGAGCAAAACCAATACCGTATAGTAAGCTACAAAAAGCTGCAGCGTAACAAAATGTTATAAAGTTCAAACGAAACAAAACCAACGGCTTGTTGTAAGCTAGAATATTTAACTAAAACTATATATGGTAGACAGCAATCAGCGACCACCACTAATGTATATGCTTCTGATTTTCGACAGGCCTATAAAGAATCTTGTTAACATTTTTGTGAACACTACATCTTCTTATTAACCAAGAACAGTCGTGTCACAACACAAGAAACTGTAAAATACTATTTGGAAAGGGCTTGTCTCACTAACAAAACCTGAAGACAAATGACATAGCGTACAGATATCGTATAGTAAGCTATGAAAGTCACCGACAAATGTAAGACAAGTCAAATTAAAAAACCAACGGCCTAATTTATGAAATCAATATAAACGAAAATCAAATATGATAGACAGCAAACAGCGAGAACCACAAAATTGTGCATTGAATCGTGAGAATATAAACCATACAATGTTTTACCGTGTTAACTTTTCAAGCATCCTTGATATGTGACTAGTGTAAAAGGTCCGGGTATTTTTATTAGTCGTCATAAAGTTACACAATAAACATAATAATATCTTTAAATGTACCATATCGTAAATAAGATTACTTAAAAATTATTATCATGTAAAGTTTAATATTTCAATGTATATGTCCGTGTGTAGATAATAAAACTTCTTATTCATTACAGCGAACAGAATGTCCTTTTGTGAAATAGACACCAAACATATCTATGTCGCACAATATCAAGAAACGCATGTACACTGAAGAACAAAATAGTACAAGTGTTTCATTGAACAATAAATTATGATCATACGTAATATTTGTGGTCAAAGTGAAACACGTCAAATTTAACCATAGCTGCATTTGGCAAAACCTTTCGGAATTTGGTCCTCAATGTTCTTCTACTCTGTACTTTATTTTGTCGATACCAAATTCCCTAAATGATAAAATATTAAGATTCAGTGATATTGTATATATGATCCCTCCTCTTGTCAATGATTTTGTCTTTTCCCATATCTTTATTCTTTTTTAGATTGTTAAGTTTGTTAATAACTGTTACATATATCGATGTTCAAGAAGTTTTACATGATTTAAAATCTGGCTTAAGAGATCTAATTTCAATCTTTAGTACTTTGCTAATTTTCATAGCGGCTTTATTGACCTTACTTTAACAACAGTGAATTCAATATACAAAAGTGCAAATATACCAATTGTTACGTTTTATCAACAATTTGTCGACATCCACTCGAACGTTACACGTTATCTGAATTGTTAATCGTGAACAAATGAACATTGTCAACCTTGAAAACTTTCGACTTTTTAGTTTTTAAAACGGAAGCGTAACTATAGAAGTGTTATATGCAAACTCGTGACTTAAACACTCATGAAGATTCAAACTGCAGATACAACTTTGAAGTCTTAGATGAGATTATTTATGATTTGTGCGCATAAAGGGAAAAGACCTGGTAGGTTGAAATTTTAAGGCAAATAACTTTTATGAGAAAGGGACTTGAAGGTCTAAACTTTCACTCTACAACCAAGGGGGGTCATTTGATTAAAATGTCAGGTCACATGCTACAAATCTCATGAATACAGTATCGAGCATTCAAATATGTAAAAAAGATAATTTAGAAATTGTTTTCGAATCTCCTCTTTTACATTGCAAATGGTCACAGGTGGTTTTTCCCCTCCATCTTTATTCAGTAGTGCCACTACCTTTTGAACGCGATAATGTTTTTTGGTTTCATTAATTACGTTCTAGTAAGAGTAGGTATGTGGAACATAACGCAGGAACACATCTTTTACTTGTTTATTTCAAATTCATTACTTTTCCCGGCTGCTTGAGTTGCTCCGACAAAATCAAACTGCTTGAATATTTCTTGGAAATTTGAATCGTAAAGACAACAGATTAATAAATACCAGCAGGAAATCGCGAATTCAGAGCGGGGCAAATTAAAATTCAGTCAACAAATCGCAAATTAGAGACGGTGCGAAAATTTCCGGTTTTAAAATATAATTGATCCATTATTATTCAAATATCTTTCATCTGTTTTCAATATACAAATTAAATAAAGAAATATATAACCCTCGTTGAATTTTATACGGGTAACGTATTGCTGCGTATCCTATGAACATTTGCAAATCCGTTTAATCTATTATTTCTAATCCAATGTTTTGGGAAAAAATAATCATTTGTGACTTCGTGAACTCATTTTGTAACACTAATGATACAATTTAGCACATGAATCGTTTGTTTAAAGGATATTCAAGTGAACTTGCTGTCTTATTGTCGTAGTCTCCTCAATTTTCAAATAAATGTTCACTATAACGAATGACTATGTACATATAAATATGAGGAGATATAGTATAACTGCCGTTGAGAAAACTATCCACTAGAGACTTAATGACGTCGATATAAACTATGGCCTTCGACACTGAGCAAAACCAATACCGTATAGTAAGCTACAAAAAGCTGCAGCGTAACAAAATGTTATAAAGTTCAAACGAAACAAAACCAACGGCTTGTTGTAAGCTAGAATATTTAACTAAAACTATATATGGTAGACAGCAATCAGCGACCACCACTAATGTATATGCTTCTGATTTTCGACAGGCCTATAAAGAATCTTGTTAACATTTTTGTGAACACTACATCTTCTTATTAACCAAGAACAGTCGTGTCACAACACAAGAAACTGTAAAATACTATTTGGAAAGGGCTTGTCTCACTAACAAAACCTGAAGACAAATGACATAGCGTACAGATATCGTATAGTAAGCTATGAAAGTCACCGACAAATGTAAGACAAGTCAAATGAAAAAACCAACGGCCTAATTTATGAAATCAATATAAACGAAAATCAGATATGATAGACAGCAAACAGCGACAACCACAAAATTGTGCATTGAATCGTGAGAATATAAACCATACAATGTTTTACTGTGTTAATTTTTCAAGCATCCTTGATATTTGACTAGTGTAAAAGGGCCGGGTATTTTTATTAGTCGTCATAAGTTACACAATAAACACAATAATATCTTTAAATGTACCATATCGTAAATAAGATTACTTAAAAATTACTATCATGTAAAGACAAATGACATAGCGTACCAATATAAGAATAACTATTCTTAGTTGCTGAAAGATAGTTTAACGCCAATAATACACATTATCGCTATTTAGTCCAATCCGGAAAAAAACAGTCACTTAGACAACTTCCTGTTTGGGTCAAGGGTCTCAAAAACAAAGGTCATCAGTAACGAGCTAAGGAAGAAGAAAGTTTCGAAAGCAAACATTTTGAAACTTTGATAGATTATGATCCACTTTTTTAAAACACAAATTAAAGTAATAAAAATGCCTTGTTTGAAGTGTTTACGATGGTTTAAACATGTTTCTTGGAAAAGTTTTATGCATTATGCGTTGTTTAAACAGGGCCCAAGATTGCTTCCACTGGATGAAAAAATTGTGTAATTTTAGAACTTATCCGGATTGAAATAAATAGCTTTAAGGTGTATAATTAACTAATAAATGTTCTTTTTCAATACTAAATTTCCAATAAGTACACAGTCAATAGATTAAAACTAGCCATAACGAGTCTGAGAAATGCATGATTTGGTGATATGCCAAAATATCGACAGGATTTAGGACTGTTTGTGTGCATAACTGTAGCAACATACTATGTTAAGTTATGTTTAATTTATTTATAACAAATTTAATAATAGTTCCAATAAACCTAATATTCAAAGGCCTTTTTTATATTGTTGATTTAATAACCTTTAAGAATTAGTTTATTCTTACCTATAGGATTAATACAACATGGGTTGTATCTCAATTTACAGGCTCTATAAATAACATCAATGTAAAAATTAGGATGTGACATCTCGTTTTTTATCAAGATTTCTGTAGGTTCAGGAAAAATGTCAAAACAAATATCTTTATGAATGAATGTAAAAGCTATTTTCTTTCTTCCTTCCTAAATAAACTAATTAACTTGACAGGATGTCGCTTGATGTATCTATTTTAGATCGGGGTAACACACTTCATTTGGATGTGGGATAAACGGGATGTGGAATATAGGGGGTAAAAAGTAGGGATGTGGAATAAAGGGATAAAAAATGGGATCTGGAAAAAAGTAGAGAAACAAGTGAGAAGTAGAAAAATAATACAAACAAGATATTTGGGAAATGAGCCCCCCCCCCCCCCCCCCCCCGGTGCATCCCCATCTTATGTGCTGTTGATTACATCATTTATTTTTACCTTTTGTAACCGAAAGTTAATTTAATTGTCGCGAAATAGGTTTTGGTGCTGAGAATAGAACAAAAGATAAAAAAATACATCTTAATTTTAAACTTCTGAGAATTTCCTTCGCCTATTTACCTGTGAGAAACTTGACACTAAAAAAAAGTATGTTTATTAGTGTAAACAGGGAAGTATTTAGCATGCCCTTTCATCAGGAAATTTCTTGCGACATGATAAATATCGATCTTGATATGGAGTTTATCGTTCAAAATCGTTCTCAAACATAAAGGTAGGAAAAACAAAGTGTCCAATTTTACCATATTGTTTCAGCGTTTGAAATAAATTTAAGGAAAATTGTATGTCAAGTACATGGTTTGCGTGATTATGTACATTAAAAATTACTTGATACAAAAACCTTGGTGTATTTACAAATTTGATACGAAACGAAATCTAAGCACGCGGTTACTTTATATTTATTCAGAATAAATGTAATTTAAATTACCTAATACATGTTTAAAGATTTGATGTTGACCTACATTTGAATATTATTTATATTCTTTTTTTTTTTTGTGTCGGTGTGTTTTTTTTTTGTTTTTGTTTTTTTTTTTTAAAGCTTGTATTCAATTTATTAAACTCTATTGATACTAATTGAAAGACTTTCTTTTAACTTTTAATTAAATAATAAACTAAGCAAAAAGACAATTTTCAGATTCTTTCAAACGTAAAATTTTACCTTTATTGTCAGTATACACAATACAGTAGTTGTTAGACTTTAAATAAATAAATGTCATCATAACAATTGGTAAAATACTGAAATAAACCAAACGGAAGTAATTACAGTGGATCAGAAACACATCAATCTGATTACAAAACTCAAACAAAATAGAGAATAATGATGTACTACGAAAGTACCTCATTACTGCTAACAAACAAAAAATCCGAAAACTGAATGTTTAGCTGTTGTTGTTGTTTATGCTTTAATTGCATGTACCACATAAACAAAACCGTATCGCTCCCAAATTGTTCACGAATTAAAAAATCTTACATAAAGTAACATATAGTTTAGCTCGAATAATATATAGAAATATAGGCACCTGGACTTCAACGGTCTGACACTTAGACCCATGCTGAAACGGCGTTCGTTTGCCAATAGAGAATGCATTAAAATGAGGTCGTCACTTCCGGTTGGTTTTTTACGCTTAATCAATGACTGTTTTCTGAGAGTGCCAAAATTTAATTCATAAAAAAGAATATAAAAATAAGGAGATGTGGTACGATTGCTTATGAGACAACACTCCACCAGATGGATGCAATCAACTATTGGTCATCGTACGGCATTTAATAATTAGTAAAATGCCTTATAAAAGTTATAAAAGGCTCCGACGTCACAAATTTAAAAACAAATCAAACGAGGAAACCAACGGCCTGATTCATGATAAAACAATAAACGAAAAACAAATATGACAAACAGCAACCAACGACAACCACTAAATTATAAAATTCCACAAAATATAAGCCTTATGTCTTTGGAGAGCTTTTAAATGCTCCTCACTTTGGACATCACATACAGTATATAATGTGGCAGGGTTAAAGATGATTGCGAGCGTTAAACTCTCTACCTAACGGTAGTGTGGTGTAAAAGCGCAACAAAAGGACAAGGTTTTTTTTTAAGGCAAAATCAGTTTAAAAGGGCTTGACTCATCAGCTCGAGAGGAAGCAAAAAAATCAACTGACACCTTATATATAACACTATATTACTGTATATGCTCTAATTTGTATAAAGCAAGCGTAGTTTGAGATGTTGTTGATAAATTTCCATCGAATTTGTGAAAGACGTCATGATTCATGATTTATAACTTATAGGTTTCATATTCTTGGAATATTTATTGTTGGCTCAATCATGTCATAAATGCACATTCTTATATAAAAAAAATCTTTACTTCTGAATAGTTTCAAGCTTTGTTGTATCAAGGAAATAAATATATTGTCTTCTAAATGATTCATACTTGTAATCTATACCTTCCTATGTTTCGTAAACTCGACAAATTTTGAGAAAAGTATGTTATTCTTCGCCGCGCCTCTTATGTAGCCTTCAATAGATGTACAAAATGTTTCTGGGAAGACAATGGCAATTGCGTGAGACTTAAGTTTAATGTCAAAAATTGTGAAACCTCTATTCCCAAATAAGAAAGAGGACAGGCAATATTTCCTTTAAAGGGAAACAGCTAAGAGAAAAAAAAACCAATAGTTTACGAAACATTTTATAGAATTCAGGATATATCTCGGGAGTGTCATTTACATTTCATATTCAGCTGTTGAATGTTGATAATTGAATAAGAAAATTTTCAGTTCAAAAAAATTAAAGGCATACATGTATCTTGTGTCTTTAAGTTGTCAACTCAAATGGTCGAACTGTAAATTTATATATATATATATATATATGTGTGTGTGTGTGTGTGTGTGTGTGTGTGAGTGTGTGTGTGTGCGGAGTAAATTTACCCGCATCAGCAATATCATTTTATGATATCATTTTTTATCATATCGAACGATCAACACAGTCGCCAAAAAAATATTAATAGAGAAATGAAAGTTAAAGAAAATTCTAACTTCTATGTCAATTCTCTGTTTGGAATCAACTGCATGCAGGTAAAGATATAGATCGGGGAGTACTGGAACACAATTCATTCCCAGATGATTGTTTTTTTTATATAGGTTGGTCGGTCCATTTTATGACACTTAATAGAAATATTACTTTTTGAAACATGTATTATACTGGGAAATCTCTGTCGATGTCCATTTTAATATAAACACAACTTTTCGAATGTCTATTCATTATACAATATAGATGCAATTCAGACTAAATCGAATGCGTTTTACTGCAGGTTGATTGCTGTTCTCCAGATTCGAAAATTTGGATCACGTTTGCCTAGGAGGAAGCAGATCAAACACGAAGAGTTTAATGAACAGTCTATCATCTACACACTGAAAAATTTATTATTTTTATTATGGGCTTCAATAGGAAAGTATCGTTTTGTTTTATATTGTACATTATTGCCATTGCGGTTGAAATTACATTGAGCCAAACTAGCACAGAAACTAAGATTTCTACATTACGACAAATGATCGTTTCAAATGAAACAATATATGTAGGAGGTGTTGGCGGTATTGTGTCTCTTCATAGAGAAAACATGACGGAAAAGTCATTTAACACTAATAATTCAACCGTTTGGTTACTGTTATATGATGAGGAAAATGAAGAAATTATACAGTGTAACCAAAATAATATTAACGTAAGCCATTGTTCGAAACTGGATATAAATTTACAGATGACTGGAATCGAAAGCAGCGATATGTCGGTCGATATACAATACCTTCTTACCTACAGTATGATCTATGTAAAAGAAGTAAAAAAAAGCATTGTTGTAATCGGTACGAACTCTGCAAATGTACTGAACACATCGTACGGAATTTTGTCTTTTAATTCGATAAATTTTACCTTGTTCAATACGGAACCATATCAAAAAGGACCAATGAATATTGAACGCGCTGGTGAAGAAAATTTAAGACTTGTTTTCCAAGCATCTTTTTACCGTGCATCACATTTTTATTTCTTTTTTCAAGTGCATGCAAATAATCAGTTGGAATCTTCAAGGATAGGCAAACTTTGTCTGAAGTACGAAAACGATAACAATAAAACTGGCTACTACCATTCCTATGAAGATATGAATATTACGTGTATATATGATGGATTTACCTTAACAAAGGTTGAAAATGTTATAGATGAAGGCGGATTCGCGATATTTTTGTTCCTTTATAATAATCGTAGTGTTATCTGTGCACGTTCATGGGCCAACATATCAGTAGATTATTTAGAATCCAGGAAGTTGCAGTTACTATGCAAATACTCTGTTAAAAAAGATGATGGGGAATATTTCCAAACAGACACTGAGCTTGATACCTCTACCTATTGCTTTGTAAATGAAACCTATTGCGATAAGGGTGATGTAAGTAGACATAAAGTATCAATCTGTAAAAAAACACAAATTAACTAAAGGTGGATCCCTACAGATATAGCAATTTTTTTTCACCATTGAATTTTTCTTAAAATTTGCATACATATACTATGGAATGGCCTCTATAAAAATTTGAGTTGAAAATATAATGTCACCAGATTCGTTTCAATGTTAACGGTCACCAAAGTTGGTACATCATATGTATGAATAAATACATATCTGAAGTAAAAATTCTGGATTTTTTTCAAGCCTTTGAAAGTAATTTGAATGGTTTGTTCTTCAATTATCACAAAAATAATGATACAAATAAGTTGTAAATAAAAAAAAAATAATGGCAGTTTTATTCTTATTTATTAAATCCGGCCCCAATTTCGTCAACACTGCTGCACACAAAAAACACAGATTTTGTTAAAAATTTCTATTTTTCTCAAATTTCTAAAATATTGGTCCATTGATTTTTTTTTAGTTTGACATAAGATGGTCAAAACAATGAACTTTAAAAAGATAAACAATAAAATATGGGTCACCAGACTATCTTTTGACCTAAAAATATTGTTGTTACCCCTGAAAATAGGCTAACTCAGTAATCAACAGCGATTCTGTGTATATCTTTCAAAATTTGTGTGTACAAAGTGTGGCACATGTTGTCATATCTTTTGTTAAACCTACACACATCAATATAGTTTCACATGAGAATCAAATGAAAGCTATTTGTTGTTTCTATGAACAACGGATACCATGGCAACGAGACAAGAAGTAGGAAAATTCAGATTTTACATTGTTCTGAAGTGCAAGAATTACTACTAACAGACAACAAGAGATCAAAAACCAATATTTCAGAGCTACAACACATGGCTTAAATGTAAATGTAAAACAAATATCATGATAACATAGCTTTTAAAAAGCATTACTATGGTAAAAAATCAGCAAACATAAATTACTCAGCAGTAAGAAAAAATCACCATTTTTTTTTCAATTTTTGATTCATAGGTACCAATCATGCTAGTAAATGGTTTAAGAAATTAAAGACTTTTTTCACCCTGTCATAATTTAACAATTTAAGTTTGATGAAGCATACATATTCGTTGCCATGGTAACATTTATATCAAAACTGACCTAAAACAGGAATGTATATAAAAAGTTGAATTCCCCCTATGGGCCTCTCTACTGTGGGCATCGGCGGATACAGATGATTACCCGTACCAAGTATAAATTTCAATCTCTCAGTGCTAATTTTCAAAATCATGCCGACAAGTTTCCAAATAAAATAATAATAAAAAATAGGACAAAAACTATATGTCATCAAAACTCTGATTTGGGCGACATAACTAGTTATAATATATATATATATATATAAATATATATATATATATATAAAACCGTTTACTCCTCTGGTACTGTCAAAAACTGAATTATAGCTCCAGCATTTTAGCGCTCACGTGATTCTCTGTCAAAATAGCTCCATCTCTAGCATTTACAATTTTTAGATGACACATCTTGACTCCACTTCGTGCCAATTTTAAACTTATTAATGAATTTATAATTTTCATATCCATTAAAGGTTTAAATGATATCTTTACATGGTTATAGTTCAGACTGTAAACATCTTCATTGATACATTTTTCCTGAAACTTAACCCCAAAAAGTATTTTCATCTTCTTTTGCATTATGTGCACTATAAGTTGACTTGAAAACTACTTTAACTAGAGTCTGTTACTTGCAATTTTCTACTTCATGTTTTGGAATTACACGTTTAGAAACTTTTAAGGTGTCAATGAATCCTTTTGCACAAGCAGAAAATGTTGAAAACAAATGGAATTTCTTCAATCTATTTTCCAACACCAACATATCGAAATTAGCAATATTATGTCCAACCAATATAGGTCTGTCATTAAGTTTTGAAAAATCGATGAAATCTATTAATGAGTGCTCAACAGAAAATGTTTCAACTATTGTTCCACTTAAATACATTTTGTTTGAAGAAAACTTTTTGAGGTTAAGTTTCAGGAAAACTGTATCAATGAAGATGTTTACAGTCTGAACTATAACCATGTAAAGATATCATTTAAACCTTTAATGGATATGAAAATTATAAATTCATTAATAAGTTTAAAATGAGAAAATGTTATACCAGTAATAGTACTTGCTTCTTGAGTAATTTCCATTCTTGGAATAGCATAATGTTGAAATGTGTTTGAACCACATACTGCATTAACTGGTGTACTTTCCCTGCAATCCTTATATTATCGGAATAAGCATGGAAACTCCCTTTCCTATAACAAAACAGAAACAGGGGACGTCAGGTAAGTTGTTAACAATTTAGTTTTTGGAGTGCGTAAACCCAACTGGTTATTGCTTACACAAGGTATGTGTTTGTTAAAAGAAAATGAAATAAATGGACCTACCAATCTTTACTAATACCCCCACATGCTGCATACTAATAGGAGAAACAGCAAATACCAACTTTCTTCTTTGGTTTCAACTTGCTGAGAATCGAATCCACGTCGATTCAAATATGAGTAAATATTTTATTTATTTCATGGCAGTGCTTAGGTTTCGAGATATAAGCAAAAAACCGCCCCCCCCCCCTTTTATGTTTAACTTTTGGCAATGGTGGCAATTTTTTTATGTATGAAATCCCCGGATAGAATTTATAAACTAGACACAACTATAAAAAACATCCAGTTAAAGTTGGATGTATTTGGAACAGTAATTTCAGAGGAGAAGAATTTTAAAATAATTTACGACGACGGACGTCAAGTGATGACATAGGCTAACATCGCCCTATTTTAGACTGTATGTGAAATGTTAAAGCTGCAAAAATACAAGTACTAAATATCTTTTCGATCTAGACTATTTTTGACATATCAATTTTCAGAATAATTTGATGATTTCTGAGTGATATTAAAGTCTGGGGACACGTGAGTTTTATAAGTTATAATTGGTGTAAGACTAGTTTCAGTAACTGTCAATCGGTACTTTATCTTTTTGATCGTTGGTTTTTTTATGCCTTGTTGAGTTGAACCATTTTCAATATATCTTTATAATTCATTCTTATGTTGTACTGTTTTGTAACTTTTTTTTCATGCATACTCTAGCCAAAATCATGACTCTGCACCCAAGCGACATTACATATCCAAGTGATAATACAGTCGAAAGTTGTTTACCGACAAGTGACCGTACAGTGAAAAATATATAGTGACATGTGTTTTTAAAGATTTAGAACTATTTGTGAGTGTAAACATATTGAAGTTAAATTTGAGGAAAAACTATATATTAATTCTTTTTAAACATCTTAAAAATTTTGAAAACAATTCTTTTATTAAAAGTCAAAACTTCAGCTGAACGAACACAACTATTTCCATAATTTGGGTCGGAGCTCTTAGTTTTATTTCAATTTCCCCCCTGTTTTCTTGCTTTAAGAATGGGTTCGGCACCCCTCAATGTTTGAATATTAATGACAGATACAAAAGTTTTCTCATATAAATTACAAGTAAGCCCCAGAGATAATAATGAAAAAAAAAACACGTATCCGAAAATTATTTCGAATGTCGGAGAACCGCTTGTTGACAGTCTCCCGAATGACCACAATATCTAAAAAAAAAACATACAGTTGCGTTCCCACATTGTGTTTATTAAATAGAGAACATAAACATTTATAGCTCTTTTTTAAAATTTTTAATACCTTTTTAATCACATCGATGGCTTTAATGAGGGTAGCGATGCACTTTACCGTCAGGCGCCAAACGGTCATTTTCGGCTTACGTCGCGTTAGCGACAAAATGGTTAAAGTTTTATCGTGATTCGTCAAAATATCCTTATCGTACGGTGGCAGAATGCTGCCATGTAAGAAAAAAATACTGTTCCCTCAAGATACTTTGTCGTTCCCTCAAGATGCTATGCCGTTCCCATAAGAAAGTGTTATCGTTCTCTCAAGATATTATGTCGTTACCACAAGATAGTTATCTCGTTCCTTTAAGATGCTATGTCGTTCCCTCAATATGCTATGCCGTTCCCACAAGAAAGTTATATCGTTCTCTCAAGATATTATGTCGTTACCACAAGATAGTTATTTCGTTCCCTCAAGATGTTATGTCGTTCCCTCAAGATGCTATGCCGTTCCTACAAGAAAGTTTTATCGTTCTCTCAAGATATTATATATCGTTTCCACAAGATAGTTATCTCGTTCCCTCAAGATGTTTTGTCGTTTCCATGAGATAGATATCTCGTTCCCTCATGATGATATGGCGTTCCCTCAAGATATTATGTCGTTCCTTCAAGATATTGTGTCGTTCTCACAAGACAGTTATCTCGTTCCGTCAAGATGCTATATGCCGTGTCCACAAGATAGTTATCTCGTTCTCTCAAGACAATACGTCGTTCCCACAAGATAGTTATCTCGTTCTTTCATAGCCGCATATTGCCACCGTATTCTCGAGATTCAGAGATCTCAAATAATTATTTGTTACCGTTATTTGTGGAGAAAAAAATTTTTTTTTTTTTTTATCGTCATTAAGAAAATGGTCATGCATCGAAAATTACAGTTAATGTCATTTGACAACAATTTTTTTACCGTTGTTCGTAATGAAGGTATCCCCATTACGACCCTCTTTTACATGGCTTTTGCCGGCTGAATAATGTTTTCACAATTTTTTAGTTCCATCTTCACAAAGAAGCGAGAAAAATTTTATTAATTAGAAAGATGTACAAATGTATACTATATCATTTGAGCTTTACTTGGCTGTTGATGGAGACCTTACATTTCAGCAAAATAGATATAAGAAGATGTGGTATGAGTGCCAATGAGACAACTCTCTTGTAAATATGTATACATTTTTGAGTCTCTACAATCTTATGTCAGAATTACACAACGATTCAAAACATGCAATTAAAATGATCAATTCTTAATTTCTCTCATTCCAATCCAGACCAGTCTTATCATTTAACATGTACATATTTCCACCCTTTTTGTCAAGCCTGCGAAATTTATT